GGTTTAAAGACACTTCATGTCTCCTCATCAAGCAACTTACCTAAGTAGCGGGTCAGCACAGTCGATGTGCAACGCCACTGGTGTGGTGTTAGAGATCAGAGTTCATTTGATCCTAACCACCAGATAAACGCAAGTATTTTATTTGAGAACCTGTTACATTATCCGGTCCGTGTTCCCGATCGTAGATCATCGATCATCCTACCGTTTTTGTTGCTTGGCGCCGTCTGATTCTTATCAGTTCAGTACATCCGTTCCTGATTGCTCTCCACTCTGTCCGGGTCGACATCACTTATTTTTTTCATCTGTGTTCGTGTTCAGGATAACAGTAGTAAAAGACCGACAGAGCCGCAAAAGTAAAGGTGTTGCATTTGCTCTGTTTTTGGATCGCAATGACGCGAGGCAATGCGCTATGAAACTTGACAAAAGCCAAGTAAGCCTCTGCCCTTGGTCTCGCGCTGCTTATCTTTTTTTAATTACTGTTACACTACTCTTTATCATCATAAGTAGCATCCATTCTAAACACTACTTATCTTAAGCGATCCTGCATGTCATTTTCCATTTAGTCGAAACAGAGAAAATTGAGATGACTGTTGCGACGCCTTCTTTATTGTTTCGTACTGATGGAATTTGGACACTTAGGTAGGACTAGGTTTACGGTTACTGGTCACTCGTTTTTTATGTGTAAATTTCGCGAGATATCCGATGCCCCAGCTCATCTCGATGTACACCTGGGTGCGTTTTAGGCTTCACGTCGTACGGTAAATCCGAGCGATACGCGCGTTCCACTATCCTTTGTCTACACGATTGCACGGTGCTCACGAAGAAAGGTTGTTTTTTCACCGGTGTGTTTGTGTGTTTAATTCTATCGATGGTTACCTGACATCGTGCTTCTTCATCACCTTGGAATCTTATTTGATGTTGAGAGTACAAACAGAGCCTGAATACCATAAATTGTCTTTGAATGTTGGAAAGCATGGCGGTTACTCAACTCATTTTCTATCGTTCGCTTTAAATAAACAAGTAAATAATATGCTTCTCAACTGTGCGAGGCAGACCGACTACTTGGTCTGGTTCATTCCTTACGACATACTCGAATAGTGGAGAAAAGCTGTCTTTCAAAGTAGTTCCCTCACGGAATATATGGGTGTTCTCATCCGTTTAAGTTGACAAAAGGACGGAGAAATTGGGAGTCCTAAATTATGTCCTATACGGCTCTCCGTGACCGTCTTCTGGGGCCTATTTACATAGCGGGGGAAATTTCACGAAAAGTTTCACCTGCAGTTTCACGTTTCATCTAGACATGTGCTAATGTGGCCTAAAACAAGCAAGCCCTCATCTTATTGACGTTTTTAAGGCCACTGTTATCATCATATAGGCTGTCACCATGTTTACTCATTTTTTGTAGCCACTGTTGATAAGCAAAGTAGGCCGTTTCTTTTGATGGCGCCGCTTGGCGCACTCTCTTCATACAGCGCATTCTACCAATCAGCGGTTTCTCAAGTCCTGAACTT